GCGTACTTAACTACTAAATGAGCTATTGAAGATGTACTCCACCAATGTAGACCGATTTATTTTATTTTATTAATTTTTTTTGTTTGATTTCTTTTAATATAATTGTAGTGTTCACATGCTGATGGGCTCATTCTATTTTAATACTGTTTTAAATAAAATTATTTTTAATTGGAATGCCTGGGAATTAGATTATTTTTTTATTAACTTCAAGTTACTTTCTTGCATTATTAAAGTATTTTTCAACACAAGATATAGGATAGTAATCAAAATATAAAATAAAATTTATAATTAGATTGTTCAAAAATATTTTAATCTCATTAAATAACTAGATACCATCATTTCATATACTTAAATATGTTGACTTGGATTATGTTCATTTTCTGATGTGAATCTGATTGTGATGATTCAATCGGATTTGTATCTCTCCAATGACCTCAACTCAACCGGCTTTACTGGTGGTTTGCATTAGGGTTCTTCCTGCTTGTGTTGGGTTCGAGAAGTGCTATGCAACGTTCATTTTATTTTTTTGGTTACCATGCCAGATGTATGTATCTGCGAGCAACCGTATTGAACAGATTTTCTTTATCGTTTTTATTATAAAGCGGTATCTCTCTGGTATTACCATCTTGACTTTCTACTTTTGTTTTGAACAGTGCATTCTTTTTTGAGAGAGAAGAAACGGTGTTAAAGTTAGAAAACGAAGGAAGGAGCATATGAGAATGATATTTATTTATTATTATATCCTCATTTTATAGTTATTGCTGGATAGTTCTCCCTTGATTTATATTTTTCTGTTTAAATCCCACCGTCAATTACTTTTATTGCATTCTATTTGTTCTCTTATTTGTTTTCATTTGCGGTGGTTTACTTCATCCTAACAGAATTTAATTATTATGTATCAGTTCTAATATTGTGTCATATAGATTTTTTATATTCTTATCCTATCAGACTTCTTAGAAGTTTCCAAAGAGTACATAACTAAAGCTAAATCTTGATAGGAATAAAGTTTTGTACTAATATAAGAAGAGAAAATAAACTTTATAAATAATAGTATAAGGTAAGAGAGAAATATCTCTTCGAATTTTTTTTATTCAATTTAGATGGTTTAAAATATATCATATATCTCTTAATCAACAAGGAAAATGTTGTAATTTAGGAATATTAACGAAATAGAATATTTGTATTTTATGTTGTTACAATAGAATAGTGTAAAAATAATAATCTATCATGATAGAATAAAATTAATATATATTAGAGTGCAAATGAATTCTTAGTTTAGTCATAAATTTATTTCCTCTTAAACTCCCTGAGTGTACTGTATTAGTATAGAGGATTCCATTTGGAGCATCCAAATTAGTCATAAAAGTATTATTTAGAGATTATTAAATATTTTTTAAAAGTTAATAAATATCCTTGTTACTTGGCTTGATTAGTGGGCGAGTACGGTTGGGAACCCCACAACCCTTGCTCGACTCTCCTCGAGCGACAACGACTCTTAAGTATGGCCAATCAAGTGCGGACTAGGAGGTTTCTATGGTGGATACCTCTTCTAAGTTTGTCGAGGATTAATCACGCCACTAAGCCCTCTTTAGAGGATGACAGCCGGTGGATACCCGTTCAATAAAAAAAGTTAATAAATAATATTATTCAACTCTCATATTTTAATATATTTAATTATTAAAATATATTTTTTCTTCATAAATTTGTACTATAATCTATAATTATTATTTAAAAAATAATACAGTTGAAAAGCTGCCCGAATAGATTCTTACTTATCATTATTCAAGCTGTGATCCACTTCGAACTAACTTCCGAAAAAAAAAAACAGCTACAGCTTACCAATCCTACTGAATTATTGCATTTAAGTGCCTCTACAAATAATTATTTGCAGCTCAGTGCTTTTGCAATTTTCCCAACTTAGAGCTAACTGAAGCTTTAGACTTTTTTAAAAAAAAAAAAATAATGCGCTGTTGTGTAGCCAATTGTTCTTGCGTTTCTTTTGATGAGCCCGTTGAGCCCACTGGGCCCAAGAGGAAAGTGCAGATAAAGCCACTTGGGGCCCATTCCGGTTCTCCCGCTAATGATTTCTTGGAGGATAACACCCGCCACATTGACGGCTACACGTCGCCTTCATAGCATTCGACATCGTTCCATGTTTGGAGGCTTGGACCGCAAAATTGGACCCCTGCATGCGACCTCTGACGTGCCATATTTAATATGGGAAAAATAACAAGAGCGCTTCTTTCACCGACATAAGGTCAGGATTCATAAAAAAAATAAATCCAGCCCATCGCATAAACAAGCTCGATGTTGTCGATAAAGCCTATTAGTCCTTAGTCTCATTGAGAAATTATTATATGTGAAGATCGGACACAGAGAATCGTCCGATTTATCTCTATGAACATAATTAAAAGCACAGTTCTCCATACATAATAATCTCTCTGTCTCATGACCAGCCTCGCTATGATAATGACATTGAATCCTAATAGCTCTCAAGCGTGTAGAAACTTAACAGAGAGACACAAGAAAGAAGATGAACAGTGATGCCGGATAAAGAACTAATAAAGAATATTTTATTATTACTTTTCTACTCTTTACAGCCGGCCTATGTCTCTATTTATAAAAGACAAGCAGTAGATAGGTACACGTGTCAGCGTCTTATTGAACACAAGAATTAGAGATGAGTATTTATATTAGAGGTTCTTAACAAAGCGAACCTATAGGCACAAGATATGATGAAACATATTATAAGATAGTTTTAGCACTATCCAAAAAATTTCCTCCAATTTGTTCCATAATATATCTAGAACTAATAGGCATTCTATCGAGCAAGATTTTTACATTTTATTTCACTCTTTGAGTTTAATCGACCATGATCTACAAGCCGATAAAATCAAAATTCTAATTGCCAAGTAAATGAAATGAGTAATTAGTTATCTTTTAATTAATTAAAATTTTTATTTATGCTTTTTATTTCTTTTATGATATATATTATTAAAAATTAACCTCACTTCAAAAATATAAATAAAATTAATTTAAGTATTTCTTATAAGTTTTTTATCCTTGAAAAAAAATATATTTATTAACCCATATTTGTAATAGAAGGAATGAATATGTTATTTCAGATGAATTAATAGATGGGAAATTAAATGCAATACCATGTCACTTAACACTATAACTATACGAAAAAATTACTGTTTTTAACCAATCAGTCATGCAATTTGGTGTACTTGAATATAATATTATTTGATAGTATTCAACGCGATAATAACTATGTTTTATTAATATCATTATGCATATTATAAATTTATATTCAATATATTTATATTTAAAGTTGACATATCTAAAAAAAACAGGTATAGGTGACACAAATCTAAGGAAAAATTTAAATTCAAAATTTTAAACTAAATTCAAGATCATCTAAAGTCCAATTATCAACAAACTTATAGTTGAACAAAATATCCTAATAATATGAACCTAACCAAACCAAAGTGGTCTAATATGAGCCTAAATGAAACCAAATCAAATCAAACACTTGAAGTGTTAGTATGTGTGGAATCTAATTGTGTCGATCAATTGTGTTGTATTGTTGCCACAGACCTCAACTTAGTTTGTCGTGCTTGCTGGGAAGGGTGGGTGTGCGGGGGGTTCTCCTGTTGCTTGGGTTCGTTTACTTTGCACCCAATTTTATTTTTCTTACAATAGCTCGACGTTGCATACCCCGGCTTGTGTGCCCTAGCACACTAGCATTGTATAGTTCGCTTGGAGATAAAATAATGAGCAAAGTGTTGTGGCATTCAAGATCTGGCTCTATGCCGCTGTTACATTTACCTATCAAGAAAGTCCCACCAAAGCTTAGTATGGGGCGGCAAAACCTCCAACCACTGATAGACAGACTGAATGCCCAAAATGGCCTTTCAAACCTATATGAAGTAGAGGACTGAATCTTGTAAATTATACATGACATAGCTGCAACAATGACTTCCATGAATAAATTTAGTGATTGATAAGAATCCTCCCAACTATTAAACACGGACTTAATAGCTTTTCAACATGCATCCTATATTTTCATGTATGAATCTGTTATATTAAATTTTGCTTCAATTCTTCTTTTGACATCTCTGGGTTTTATGTCCATTTGCTTCCTTATGGTAACCCGAATGAAGAAGTTGATAAACTATGAGTTACATTGCCTGTGATCGACTTGAAGAATAGGATTTGTGCATTTATGTTGCCCTTTAATGGTAGTTATTTTCCAGGCACCATCCAATCGTTTGGTTAGACTGGCATGCAAACGACAAAGAGACGTAATAGTAAAATTATCATGCCGTGTATAAGCAAATGTGAATTTTTGTTTGTTCGATGCAACGACCATCAACTGAACATTATTCATGATGGGCCAATCATGTAAGGCAAACTGAAGTTCTGATTTACATTGGAAGCCCATAACTTCCCTAATTCATTTGGAATTAAAACTCTTCATTTGGCAAGCTAAATATAACAACATTGTTATATGTCACTTCTCAACATATTCATTATTTTGCTACCATACCTCCCTTCATATCACTTGTCCTGGTGCAATAATCATGAATAACCTCATTAATGTCGTTGTAACGAACAACGAACAATATTTCTAACATACATATCATCAACCAAAGCATCGAAATCTTAAGCTTCCCCTTCAATTAAATCACCACTTATTATCTCGTACCCTTCATCAATTACATGAGGAGAAGCTCTAAACTCATTAACTCCAAAAATTGAAGTAGGTTCGGAATACATTGAACAACCGGGTAAATTCAGCTTAGATGGGTTTGTCGTCAATCTGTATTGCACTAACATATCATTATTTAATGAGCACTAAAATTTATAGTATGAATAAAAAAAATCTTATGTTTAGCTCACAACTTACCCATTGTTTATATTTGGCATTGGTAATTGGCCATTGGAAGCATCATGCATCTCAACTCTATGATCCATTATGACAGAATCGTAATTTTGAGATAAATGAATTGTGAAATAAGGTTCTAATATGAAAGCCGAAAATTTAAAATAAAAAAGAAACTCTGAGCCTGTTGCTCGTTTAATGGGCAACTAGCTTCTGCGTACTCAAGTGCACCGCCACTAACTTTGACTATCAAAATTAACCATTTTTTATGCAAGTGAACGGACGACTATGCCTATTTTTAAATTTAATTTTTACATGCTCGTAAATAAAATTTTAATCATGTTTTATTTAAAAGTTTGCCCGAACGGTTAGAGGTTATTCGTTTAAATTTTTAATAACTGACGAAAATAATATTTATAAACTTTCAATAACTGACGAAAATAATATTTATTTATTTATTTATAGGTAAGTTGTTTTTTATTTTTTACTAATCAAATAAAAATAATCAATCCTGACATTTAGTGGGCCCGAAAATAAGAAATATTTTAACTACGAATGGAGGATCTATCTGCAGTTATTATGTAAAAAAATGAGCATAAAAATGAATCTTTTTTGTTTAATTTTTAGTTTTTAAGAATTATAATATTACACGTAAAAATTTAATATTTTGGCCCACCCAGCGCAGCTAATAAACAAGGTGAACTGTCACTGTAAGTGAGAGAGAAATCCAGCTCTAGTCTCCGGCCTTCCGGTTCTTTTCCTCCTCCTTCCTCTCATCACTTCTCCGTTTTATTTGATTTCCCGCTCTTAATTCAATCCTCTCTTTCACTTTCCTACCTGAAACCGAATGCACTTAGCACTGGTTATGCGCTAGCCGCCGGGGGCGGCGTAAAGCGGCGGATGGGGAAGGCAGCGAGGTGGTTCCGAACGCTCTTAGGAGGAAAGAAAAAATGGGGTTTTGTCAAGTCATTCCGACAGAAAGAGAACATACATGAACAGAAAAAGGTTGAGGAACTTAAGAGTTCGTATAGTGCCGTGGTAGTGGACGGAGAGGAGCAGAACAAACGCGCCATCGCGGTTGCCGCGGCGACCGCCGCCGTGGCGGAGGCGGCGGTGGCTGCCGCTCAGGCCGCCGCGGCTGTGGTGCGTCTCACAAGCAGCAGCAGGTCGGTAGGAATGAAGCGCGAAGAAAGGGCTGCCATTAAGATCCAGGCTGCTTTCCGTGGTTATTTGGTAAGATTTCCTCATAAAAGATTTAATCTTTTTAATTCTTCGTTTGGATCTTCTGATTCCAGTGTGTAAAATACTGAAATCAGTCGAACTACCGTTGAGGTATTTCGTCGAACGGCTGGTGTTCAATGGACTTGTGCCTGTTTTTTCGAGAAAGATACCGGTCACCTCAAAGTTCCTATTTTGCAGCTTCTTCTGACTCAACATGAGACAATTTCGGCATCTTCTAATCCATCTTTGATGAAAAATTTACTGCTTGTTTTACCTTTTTCCAGCCCTATGGCTTCCCTTGCTTTTAATTATATTTCCCTTTCTGGGAAACTTTAGCTCTAGGTAGATTGCTGGCTAATAAATCTCTCATTCCTTTCTCAAGAAGCAACTTTCATGGCGAATGTTAGTGGCGAAGGGATGGGGCCGATAGTTACCTTTCATAAATGCTCTTTGCATTTAATTCTACCGTCCAGGGGTAGCTTCATAGATCCGTATCCTTCTTCGCTACACTATAGCACCTCAAATGCTATAATTTTTCTTTTATTTTTTAGAAGTAGAAAAATTTGTTCAATCTCTGTAGATTTTGATTGTTGTTTGTGTGTGAAGGCAAGGAGAGCTCTGAAAGCGCTTAAAGGATTGGTGAGACTTCAGGCTTTGGTTAGAGGCAACATTGTGAGAAAGCAGGCAGCTGAGACTATGCGGTGCATGCAAGCTCTGGTTCGGGTTCAGGCCCGAGCTCGAGCTTGCCGGGCTCTTCGCACGGAGCCAAGCAGATCCAGCAAGAGCTCCCGCTCTAATCCTGTAAGCCATAGTTCTTTTTTTACCAATACCTTATATTGTGATTTGTGAAATGTTTCCAGATTCATACTGTGTTTTAAGTTACTTACATTACAGGGTCCTGCCACTCCTGATAAGTATGAGCCATCGGTTCGACCGAATTCCCCAAATCCAAATACGTCTGGATCTCTCAAGGTAACTATCCAAATCTGGTTTGCATTTAGAGATTGATAGATTTGTGCAACATTTGAAATGTCATTAAAGAATTTTTTGATTTTAAAGATGTCTCCATTCTTCGTACTTGTTGATCATATGGCATCACATTATTACAAAAATTGAAGAATCAAGCCGCTCCTTAATTCGATAATTAGATTGAATTCTTCCCATTTCATATGCAGAAGAATTCTTCAAAGCAAACTGGAGGTATGAATTCTGTTAATGGCGAAATAGATCAATCAGCTAATTGGAACTGGCTTGATCAGTGGATGGAAGAGCGATACTGGGACTGCATTGAAGCATCCAAGGCCATGGATGATGAGAAGAATGCCAAGATCTTGGAAGTTGACACAGGGAAACCGCAGTCCAATTCAAAGCGTCTTGCTAGCCACAATCATCTTCATTCCTCTTATTCCAATATGAACTCTGATCATATTGGAAGGAACTCATCAACTGCGCAAGACTTGCTATCGAAAGACTCGACCACGTCCCAAATATCTGTTCCTAGTCCTTCACCTGTCAACAGGCACCAGCCAATGAGCCCAATGCTTAGATTCCCAGTTTTGGACTTGGGTGAAAGCCCTCAGTTCTACTCTGCAACTTCGCGACCGGCGAGCTTGAGGAGGGGACCTTTCACGCCTGCTAAGAGTGAGTGCTCAAGAAGCTTGTTCAACGGGTACACCGACTACCCGAACTACATGGCGAACACTGAGTCGTCGATGGCAAAAGTTCGTTCTTTGAGCGCTCCAAGGCAAAGGCCGGAGTACGAGAAATCGAGTTCAATAAGGAGGCTGTCATCTCCAGGGACCGGCCAGAGATCATCAATGGCGCCTACCAAGTATGCAAATAAGGCTTATCCTGGCTCAGGAAGGCTGGATAGATTAGGTAGGCCTTTAAGGATCTAATTGATTGATATCTAACAACTCTGCCTAGGAAATATGCAGTTTGAATGTTTGGAGAAATTATTAAACTTGTCTTTTATTTTGCTCGATATCAATTCATATTGCTCTGTATTGAAAATTATATTTGTATCAATACAGAACAATATAGCACAAAAAAGAGCAAAATTTTATACCCTTTTCTAGCTTAATAACTTCTTCAATGTTTCAGAGCTCTTCTGATTGGTCTTGCAGTGCTTATTTTCTTTCAAATCTTTGTCTGTTAGCTGTAGTTTTATTCTAATAATGTAATCTTAACAGTTTAATGAACTTGTAATAGTGAATGAGCTTGATTTTCTTCCATGATCTTGATCTATAAACTATGGCCATATGCCATGTTCTTCTGAATGTTTTCTTGTCTCTTTGATTGGCAGAATTCGGAGCTGCCCTTATCTGGAATTGAAGGAATGTCTGTATTTTCATTTCTTTGACTGTAAAGATTCTTTGAGAATGTGCATTTGAAATAAATTTATTCACCATTATTATTATTATTATTATTATTATTATTATTATTATTATTATTATTATTATTATTATTTGCATGATTTGATTCAGCAATATGAGAATTTATTTCAGAAAAAAGGGTGAATAATTACTTTGGAGTTTAGGAATGAAGCCAAAATGTGCTCATCCAATGGGAGATGGGAACTTTTTTTGCATTGGATCTGCTGTTGATTGATTGATTTAACTCGACCAAACGGTCAAATCCTATTATTTGCATGGATGATGTGTCCCATATTTATGAGAGCTATCTAGATACTTAATTTTTTTTTGGGGACATTTAAGCCATTTAAGACAAACTCACACACACAACGCATACATATAGACTTGAACCCTGAACCTCTTAGTTGGAAGCCTAAGCTCTCAACCAATAGGCCAAGGAGAGTTGTGTTCTAGATACTTATTTGTTTATTAAATGTTTGTGTGGGAATGATAGATAACCAGTGCTTTCAAAATTACGTAGTATACGAAAATTAAAGTTAACAAGCGAGGCTTAAGGTGGTTGTTGGCAAGCACCCTTGGGAACTCCTCATATTGGATTCGAATCCCTTTTACTAAGATTTCACCTCTTTAGTGGGGCAAAATAAGTGTCGGTCCGATGCCGGTCGGTGGCCTTGTTAGGTTTTGCCGAGGGATTAGTTATGTCGTCAAGCGCTTCATTTGGAGTGACAACAGATACATAACCCCGTTCTAAAAAAAAGAAAATTAAAGTTGGTATTCGCTAATTTTTTTTTCTTAGATTCCAATTTTGTAATTATCTAATCTCATAGTGGCGATTAAGTAGTTGCATCCTCCTATTTCATTTTTATCATATTTATTTTGGATTTTTATATTGTTCACTATACTTATATCTTTATTTCTTGCCATTGAATTTTAAAAGTTTTATTGTAAATGTTCCTTGTTGAGAATATTATAATGTTGCATTTTAGCACCCGAATAGAATGTGCAATTCAAAATTGTTGGACCTGATCGTCCTCGGTCATTACATTATCTTGTTTTAGGATTTCCTTTGGCCTGGATGAAGGAGCCATGAGAGGTTCGTCATGGTTCGGGGATTAGCCCAATCACATTGAATGTGAATGGTTGCGAAAGGTTCGACTAACATAATAGATTTGACACAATTGCTAGCTAATTAAGTTAAATATTATTAAAACTTAACAAAAAATTTCAATTTCCCATTAGAAATATAAAAATCAATCAAAATTAAAAGTGCTCAATGAATTTTGAATCTGTTTCAATCAAAATTAAATCAAAATCATTCACATTTAAAAGCAATGATTTTGGCAATCATCAAACACGTGTGTGTCGCACGTGTGAGACTGTATATGATCAAGAGCATGCCAGGCAATCCACAGTTTACTTCAGCCACACACTATTCACTTCAACATTTTCTAAAAGAAATATAATTTTGTGCATACCCTTTCGATTATAATTTACTTCATACAGAATTTTATCAGACGGAGCCGATTCAAACTGACAAATTTTATCTTTGAATTTAGGCTTCCTATGGAACGATTTTTTTACTGATTTATAAAACCATTTTTTAATATGAAAAAATTTTAAGCTAATTTTTTTTTACCAAAAAGTTATTTTAGAAAACGGCAGCTTTCTTACTGCTTTATGAATCAGCTTTTTTGCACAAAAATTATCAAATTTAAAAAATATTTGTATTAAAAAACTGCTTCATAAAATAGTAAGAAAGCTATATCAAATGAAGCCTATGTCTGTTTTTTTACAGCTTTAAAAAAAAGTAAGAAAGTCATCTCAAATGAAGTCTTAGATTTAGACTTCGTTTGAAATGATTTTTTTATTGCTTCTTAAAACAGAGTTTTAGTACAAAAATTAAATTTTTTTAACTAAAACTCTGTTTTAAAAATCAATAAAAAAGTTGTCCCAAACAAAACATTAGTTTGTGATGACTTTTTTATTGCTTCTTAAAACAACTTTTTAGTACAAAATTTTTAATTTTTGTGCTAAAAAGCTTTTAAGAAGCACTAAAAAAACGGTCTCAAATGAAGCCTTAATCGTAATCTTTTTTTATATATAATTTTAATTGATATGTGCCATTATTTTATGTAGGTTTATAATTTTTTTTTGTCTTAAAAGAAATACAATTGTTTTATCATTTGGTCTATTATAATTCGGTCCAGGCTTATATATTCTATATATAATTATATGAAGGGTCTTTTTCAACATTAATAATTGTTTTTGTTTGTAAGGAAATAATTTATATCATGGGACTTTTCCAGCTAGAAAATTTATGGCCTTAGAATTTAAATTTTTCTTAATATTGCATTAAGTTTTGTACATACATTAAAGATTAATGAAAGGTGTTCGCAGAGGACATAAGAGTTAGTATCTGAAAAACAAAAGAAGAAAAATTTACTGGTCTAGTCCAACTAAAATAAGCTATTATTTATGAAAATAGTATAATTTTTTCGGATATTTGGTGGTAACGATTTGGCGATGGAAGTATGATGATAATAGTTGATTGATGTTGATATATTGTAGGCGACAATTGTAAGCAAAACTCTAAGATTTTTATGTGTGATCTCTCTCCAATTTTAAGTCATCCAATTAATACTTTGGAGCTTTTAAATAGGCTCTAAGCTCTTGATTTGAGCCCATTTGAGTTCGGATTAGACTGTTTTCGATGCCATTTGGGGTTCTTGTTGAGAAATGATTTTGATTTTACTGCATTCACATGATTTTAACAGCCTTTACTGATTTTTTGATTTGATATTTTATACAATTTCTCTACTAATTGTAGTATTGATATGCCGACTGCTTTAGCGATTTAACAATTGTATTGGTTTATTGATTTCTCCATTGTATTTGAAGGAACTTGATAAACAATAAGGAGACTAGAGGAAGAAGATGAACAATAATCTATCGTGTTTCCATAGATGAGCAAATACACATTACATGTTGTTTTATAGATAAAGTGTAGTAACTGTAATTACGCAAATAACCCTAACAGTTACATAAAGTGTTATGTTTAGCAGGCGTTGGTGGAGACATTTTATGAGAGGTAGAGGTGGCTACTGGTTCTGCTTGGTGAAGTGGATGTAGTGCGCTTGTCAGTATTACCCTATGATCATGTGCATGCTACTGCTATGATTTGACTGCTGACATGCATATTACTCATTTGTTGTACTTTGCGTTCAGTTGTAAGATATAATTTTTTTGTTGGGCTCTTGAACTCATTATAAATGGTTAAATGATTTCAAGTCAAGACAAGTGAGCTAGAATGCAAGACTGATCGAGATTTCTTCAGGTTCACGTTCTTTTTTATTTTAGCTATTATTTTGTCGTCATGATATAGTAGTTATAATATGATTGTATAGATCTTGAGTAGTGTATATGATTTTTGGGAAATAAACATAAATGTACATTAATGTTTTGAATTATTGAATTTCTTTCCACCATTTATACTGATAGATGCTATTAGATAGCTCTGATTTTCGTATGTTAAAAGATAAAAAAAATAATTATTCCAAATTAAATTATGAGGCATCACACAATCACCCTTAATTGGTCAAAGTGGGTGTTCATTCTCCTAAGTAAATACTTATTTTTAACCATCTTTTTGTTTAAATCTTGATAATCAATACACAACCTTAAGCTTTCATGCTTTTTTCATAAAGACAGTTACTCCCCTATGATGCGGTGCATACCAAGTGGGGAGCTACCCGAAGCCTGTTTTGAACCTGCTGACACCTGTTTGGGAGCTGCCAGATGAGTTCTACCTATTTCATAAATTTAGCTTTTATTATTATTAGTTATTTCCTTTGCTGCCTAGTTCGTTAGTGGGAGTGTGCTCCACTACTCTTTTTACTTCAATTAGTTATGCTGCCTTAGTATACCTTTTCTTCCTTTTTCCGTTTAAGAGGAAGGCTGGGCTGAGTTAAAGGCACCTTAGCTGATGCTGTTACAGATAGAAAAATCAATAGAATTTCGATCACTGTTTCATTGCTTCTGTGCAAACCTTCTTTTCCTCTGTTCTTTAGCTCTTGCAGGTGTTCTTGGAGACTTGAGGAGAAGCTCCGGCATCACCCTATAATAATGTACTCGATGTATTAAGTTATGCGCTTATCAAGTCTAGTACTACATCTTTTACTACGTGAGTTCTATCGTCAATATTTAACGATTTTCTTGACAGAACTTGTTCTCAACACTACTTATATAGTGGACTCTATCTCTCAATTGAGAGGTATGTTGATTTAAGTTATGCTATGATACATTTAAGAAATCTCAAATGGTTAGCACATCATCTAATCACTCCAACCACTTGTTTCTCAATGTCTACCTATTCATATTTGTCACTCTTGCAACTTTTATAAATGCAATAGAATCTTGTTTCATAAACTAGCTTTTGCATCAATATGGTCAGTTATGTGATGGATGCCACAAATGGGTTAGCTATTTTTAGTGTTAAGTTGCCGTAATCTTCTCTAATTTTCCTAGATGTCCCCAATGGACTTCTTGATATCCTATGAGCTCACTTAACAAGTTATTCTCATAATTACTTGCTCTTTGATCTAGGATCCCATCTGCGATAGAATCAAGCGTGATACTGAACCTAATCTATTTTAGCTAGTGTATATATAGTGAGTGTCAAGTCTATTCACAACTTCTGCTCGGTACCTGGTTCGATATTGCTCGGTACCACGGCTCGATACCGCTGATATGGCGCAATCTGATTGGTCTCCGGATAATGAACTGCGTGCGACGTCCGCACAGAATAATCTCTCGATATCATGATAGGCTCAATAATTGAAGATGTTCAGATGGTCACATCAAGTCAGTAGTCATTCACACAACATAGTTAGGTTCATGCATGATGC